TATGACTGTGGGAAAGCTGGGCACAAATCTACGGAGTGCCGTGCTCCGAAGAAAGATAAGAAGAAGGGCCAAGCAAACATGGTTGAAAAGCATGAAGATGTTGATGGCTTGTGGGTCATGCTTTCTGAATGCAACCTGGTGGGAAATCCTAAGGAGTGGTGGATTGATTTTGGAGCCACTCACCATGTTTGTGCTGTTAGGGAAGCCTTTGCAACATATGCTCCTGTTGGACCCGAAGAGACTCTTTCTATGGGAAATGCTGCTACCGCCAAGATTGAAGGATGTGGGAAGATCTTTCAAAAGATGACTTCTGGCAAGGTGGTGACTTTGAACAACATCCTTCATGTTCCCGAGATTAGGAAGAATTTAGTCTCTGCTGGACTTCTTGTTACAAATGGTTTTAAATGTGTTTTTGTTTCCGATAATGTTGTAATAATTAAGAACAAAATGTTTGAAGAAAAAGGTTACCTCACTGAGGCCTTTTCAAGTTGAATGTAATGGTTGTTGAGAATAATAATAAAATTTCAGCTTCGTCTTACTTACTTGAGTCAAATGAATTATGGCATATATGTTTGGGTCATGTCAATTATAAAACCTTACGGAAAATGATTAACTTGGAAGAATTGCCTAAATTTGAATACGACAAATCAAAATGTCAAATATGTGTGGAATCTAAGTATGTTAAACATCTTTATAAGTCAGTTGAAAGGAATTCAGATCCTTTAGACTTAATTTACACAAATATTTGCGATATGAAGTCAATACCATCTCGCGGTGGAAAGAAGTATTTCATAACTTTTATTGACAATAGTACTCGATATTGCTATGTTTACTTACTTAATAGTAAAGATGAAGCAATGGACGCATTCAAGCAATACAAAAATAAAATTGAAATGCAACTTAACAAGAAAATCAAAATGATAATAAGTGATAGGGGTGGTGAATATGAATCTCCTTTTGAACAAATATATTTAGAATATGAAATTATTCATCAAACAACGGCCCCTAACACACCCCAATCTAATGGGATTGCATAAAAAAAGAATCGTTCATTAAAGGAGATGATGAATGCATTATTGATAAGTTCTGATTTGCCACAGAACTTGTGGGGGGAAGCCGTTCTTTCGGCTAACTGAATACTAAATCGAGTACCCCGTAGCCAAACAAAATCCATTCCTTATAAAAAATGGAAAGGAAGGAAGCCCAACTTGAATTATTTTAAAGTGTGGGGATGTTTGGCAAAAGTGCAACTTTCTAAACCCAAAATGGTAAAAATAGGACCGAAAACCGTTGATTGTATTTTCATAGGATATGCGACCAATACTAAAGAATATCGATTTCTGGTTCATAAATCAGAAAATCCCGATATTCATAATAATACGGTTATAGAATCAGATAATGTTAAGTTCTTTGAAAATGTATATCCGTATAAAAAGGAATGTGAGTCTATTGGTGAAGCATCTAAATGACCTCAGAAAGAAACAAAAGAAAGTACATTTAATTAGGAGGATCCAAGACGTAGTAAACGTCAAAGAACGTCTACTTCATTTGGACTAGATTTTTTAACTTTCTTATTGGAGAATGAGCCTCAAATATTTAAAGAAGCTATGTCTTCTTCGGAATCATTGTTTTGGAAAGAGGCAATCAATAGTGAAATAGAATCCATATTGAACAACCATACATGGGAATTGGTTGATCTTCCTCCTGGAAATAAACCGTTGGGTTCTAAATAGATCTTTAAGAGAAAAATGAAAGATGATGACACTATTGACAGATATAAGGCAAGACTTGTGGTCAAAGGGTATAGACAACAAGAAGGTCTTGACTATTTTGATATATACTCTCCAGTTACGAGAATTACGTCCATACGAACGTTAGTAACGTTAGCTGCAGTTTATGGTCTTGAAATTTATCAAATGGATGTTAAGATGGCCTCCTTAAATAGAGAGTTGGAGGAAGAAATCTATATGGAACAACCTGAAGGGTTTGTGGTTTCAGGTAAAGAAAAGAAGGTATGTAGACTTGTTAAGTCCCTTTACGGACTAAAACAAGCACCCAAATAATGGCATGCGAAATTTGACCAAACGATATTGTCAAATGTTTTTAAGATAAATGAATGTGATAAATGTGTGTACATTAAAAATGTTCTAAATCACATAGTCGTTGTTTGCTTATATGTGGACGATATGTTGATAATGAGTAATGACATTGCCAACATAAATGCTACTAAGCGTATGCTAACTAGCAAGTTTGATATGAAGGACTTGGGAGTTGCTGATTTAATTCTGGGGATTAAGATCCATAAGACTCCTCAATGTCTAGCATTGTCACAATCTCATTATATTAAGATAGTACTTGAAAAATTCAAGCACTTAGGGTTTAAAGTTGCAAAGACTCCAATTGACGTGAATCTTGCATTAGCAAAGAACAAAGGATAAAGCATATAACAATTGGATTATGCTCGTGTGTTGGGATGCTTAATGTACACATAAATTGTATACGACCAGATATAGCTTGTGCTATAAGTAAATTGAGTCGATACACGAGCAATCCAGGTCAATCTCATTGGATGGTAATGAAATGACTTTTGGGATATTTAGAACATACCCAAGGCTTTGCTTTGCACTACAGTAAATATCCTGTAGTGATTGATGGATACTGTGATGCAAATTGGATCACCGGTTCAGCTGATTCTAAGTCCACAAGTGGATATGTATTTACTATTGGTGGAGGAGCGGTATCCTGGAAGTCGTCCAAACAAACTTGTATTGCCCGCTCTACCATGGAGGCTGAGTTCATAGCCTTAGATAAAGCCGGTGAAGAAGTTGCATGGCTCCGAAATTTCCTAGAAGATATTCCATTTTGGCCTAAACCATTTGCACCAATATGCATACATTGCGATAGTCAAGCGGCAATTGGAAGGGCTGGGAGCGTTATGTATAATGGTAAATCTTGTCATATACGACGAAGACATAAAACCGTTAGACAGTTACTCTCTAGAGGAATTATCACGACTGACTATGTAAAGTCAAGTGATAATGTGTCGGATCCACTTACAAAAAGGGGTAACTAGAGAGGTAGTTGAGAAATCAACAAGGGGAATGAGACTATAGACGAGAACAAGTCATAGTGGCGGTAACTCTACCTAGAAGACTGAAGATCCCAAGATCTAGGTTCAAGGAGATCAAACAAAGTCATTAATGACAGTTCAACATTGTCAACTAAACTTTTGATCCATTCTCGTGATGAGACAATGTTCAATACCAAGGATAAAGCATTAAGGCTTTTTAATGATTTCTAAATTTGATACGGGGTATATCAAATAGTGTATCTACAGGATGACATTTTTAGGAATCATCTATGTAAGTGTGAAGTGTTAGCCGCTTCAAGGAGAACTTTGTAAGGCCAGTTCTCTATGCACTTATGAAATCAGACGGTGTTCATGGCTGAAACAAACACAACAATGAGAACCAAAGACGGTTAAGGGTTGGTTGTGTGACTTATGGTTGTCTAGGTATACATCAAAGTTCGATGGTTCAAAGATATCAAATATACCGATTGACCGAGTATATCCGACATAAGTTCACTACGGAAAGTTCAAAGGAAAACCTACTTATCCAGAGCAATTAGTCCTTGCTTGCGAATCGCACAATTTTTCATGCATATTTCCGTGATATAGCCATTCCCCATTTATGTAGGGTATTGTTGGGGTTTTAAGTATATTAAATGCTTAAAAGATGGTGAATGAGAAATGTAGGGAAATGAAATTTTTAAGTGAAATTTTAAGTTTCCCCCTTGATAAAGGAACACCATCCCATATTGGAAGAGGAAGAGGTTTTTTATGGGTATATAAGCAATTGCTCTTCTTCTAGCTCTTAAAGAGTTGAGAAGAAGGCAAGCTTCGCGCCGTCATCGTCGCTCGGCTTGGCTCGGCTCGGCTTCGGCTTCAGCTTCAGCTTCGAATTCGGATTCGAATTCGGATTTGGTGATCAATTGATTGATTAACTTTTTTTGGACCAAATTTATTTGTTAATAGTAAAATATTAATAGAAATGTTATTAAATATTCGTTTTAATAACAGAATATTAATATTAAAATAAATATTAATATTAAATCCATTCAGTCTTCCGTTTTTTAGTTGTGTAACTGAAAATTAAACTACCCTCTTCAATTTTTCCTCTTTATTTTCCCTCGTTATTGTTGAGTAAATAGCCATTTATGTTATGATATTTATGCTATGGCCGTTTTGTATAAACAACCATTCTGAAGAGTTGCACCTCTTCAGATTTCAGCCCAACTTTGGCTATAAATACAAGTCTATTCTATGAGAATTTCCATACGATTTTCTGAGTTTCTCCTTCTTCTTCTGCATATTTTTAACATCAAACAAAGCAACAGTAAGTGTGATTTGCTACCGAACTTTGTGTTCACTGAAACACTGGAGTTTGAAGTACCACTACACCAGTGTGTAATTCGTTCTATCCTGGGAGGAAATAATCCATAACCTTGGGTACCAGGAGGGGATTAAATTCCTTAAGAAAACACTGTGAATTTAGTGGGCTCAGATTAATTTTAGTTTCGTTTATAATTTTGTTTATGTTGTTTTATCTTTTCCAGAATTAGTTTACAAATATAGCTTTCTAGTAGGGTCGTGACACAGATATTAAAAAAGAACAACAATGCATGTTGCGTTAATTATAGGAAAACTAGGAAACAAGCATTTGAATTTTGTAGAAAGGACCTATCTAAATAAACGCCTAAGGCAACTAGAGCAAATCAAAAGAATGAACAGTCCTCGAAAGCAACTTATCAGAGAACATTTTCTGATCTACAGATTAGCGTAATTTACTCGCAGTAATTTGTTCCACAAATCTTTAAGGATTGATGCAGTCAACTAGCCTATTTTATAAGTTTGCCTTTCCTTGTCAAGTCATATAAAACAAACAAAAATTTGCCCGTTTATCACGGCATTGATATGATGACTCGTGACACGACTAGTTCCATTTTCATAGTCCATATTGAGAAGGTTCTGAGATGTTACTCTTTTACTTTTCCAAAGAAAAATTTTCTTGTGTAGAATGTGTTAGTAATTCCTATATAAACGTTCGGAGGTGAGAGTACTAGTTGGGATAAAGGATATGGGGAATATGAATTTTTGGTTGTGGATGGTTTTTCTGATGATAAGTGCGGCAAATGGTTGTTGGGAGGAAGAGAGAAATGCTCTCTTGGAGCTGCACGCAAACATGATGAGTTCAAATGGAGGAATCTTAGCGTGGGTGTGAGGGTTTTGTAGATTGTTGTTCTTGTTATCGGGTAAAATGCAGCTTAGCAACAGGTCGAGTGATCAAACTAGATCTCAGACAAGCAAGGTTTGGATCAATGTACGGTTGGAATTTTAATGCCTCTCTGTTTCTTCCATTCAAATCGCTGCAAGTTCTTATATTGTCTCAAAATTATATTACAGGGTGGACAAAAATCGAAGGTCAGTTTTACCTAATCTTGTATTAGTATATGCTGTTGAACACCTGAAACTATATATATATATATATATATATTAACATTTTTTTTTTCTTACTGATTTTGTTATCCAGGATTTGACAAGTTGTCGCATTTGACTAACTTGAAAGTGCTCGATTTGCAGCATAATTACCTCCATCCAAGTGTTTTATCATCTGTGTGTTGGATTTCATCTCTTGAGGTTCTAAGATTAGGTGGTTTCACGGGTGGACCTACAACGGGTGCAATTGAATTCCCTTTGTGGAATATATATNGCTCCAAATCCGTGCTTATATTTCCTAAATACGGATAAACCCACATTAAATTTATAAACATCCTATTGTTGAAAATATTAAATGATGCTTTTAGTATTTAACCAACATAAGTTTGCCGTCAGTGTTTGTATATACGTGGAAGGTTACTTTTACTAGTTTTCTGTTAAATAAATAAAAGCTAACTTATTTCTAAACTTTCAACGTGCTTATTGAAGTAGTCAATGTTGGAAGAAGAAAAAAAATACCCAAAAAAAACTTCCGATGTTACAGAAAAACCATGGATGCTAGAGATTCTATCGTGGTGGCTTGAGTTTTAGGTCGTCTTTCATATTGAACCATTGAAGCAGCACGTCGTGCTATAATCGGACACTTACCAGGATATAAGGGAGAGGGAAATGAATTATTTTTTTAAATGAAATGACAAAAAACCACCTAAATTTAATGCTTTGGTAATTTAAGTAAACTAAAAAGTGGATAGCGTGCTAACTAACCTACTACCCAAGGAAAATAGTTAGGATCAAGGGATAGTTGGAGATTTTAGGTGTAATTTGTTTTTATTATGATTAAGATGTTTGAATTTGAATGTACAAAACTTGTTTTTATTTAAAAATTAATAAATATAAAATTCAAATAAAATAATAGATCAATCTAATATTATATGAACAAAATGTTTTTAAAAAACTATATGTTTATGATGCTTATGATGGCTCGTAGTGGCAGTTGTGGATGTCGTTGGGGATAGTATTAATTGATGGTGGGGTTTGTGGGTAGTAGTTAGTGCTGATGGTGATTGACAGTAGTAGTTAACAATGATAATTGGTGATAGCGGCTAATAATTGTGGTGGAAAATAGTGATAGTTAATGGTGGTGAGTAATGACAATGGTTGGTGATATAATGATGGTGATTGTTAGTACTTGGTAGTGATCAGTGGTTGTTGTAGGGATAGTAGTTGATAGCGATGATTGTAAATGATTGCTATTGGTGGTGGCGGCTGATAGTGGTAATTATCAGTGGCGGTGGCTATAAGGATGATGGTTGTGAATGGTGGTAGGAAGCGACGATTGTTGATGATAGTAACTAAGATTAAAACCTTCATTAAATACAACAAAATGAGGCCTTAGCCTCTCTATTTCTTCCTTTCAATTGAAGTTATTATACCGAGAGAAAATGATCCTTCAGGGTGGATAAAAAAAAATTCTTCTCTTTTAGCCTCATCAATTGCATGGGTATTGCATAGTTTTCCTTGTGATTTTGCTATCCAGGGTTTGACAAACTATTGCAACTGAGACTAATTTGCAGGATAATCCCTCCATCCAAATGTTTTATCATCTTCATGTTGGATTTCATCTCTTAAGGTTCTAAGACTTGGTAATGTCTTGTGCTACCAAAGGGATCACATTTAATTCCTTTTGTGAAAACTTACATTATGTATATCGGTAAAAAAAACTACTAATTATTAATTATGTATGCAAATATATAGAAATTATTGAATTCCCGATAGTAACAAAAACTTTTAGTGTAGTGATAAAGGTAACTCAAAAATAGGTTTAAGCTGTAGGTTCAAATTTTAGTTGTGACACTCTTATCATTTTTTGAGTTTCCTTGTTAAGATTTCTCTGGCTCTATTAATGGGAAGCAACTTTTTGTAACATACAAATTGATCATAGCATTATACTTATCCTTCTACATTACTTTTCGTATATTTATTTAAAGGAATTTATGATGGGGCCATTTTTTGGAAATGGTTACTATATTTTTCAGGCAAAGGCAGTGCGAAATGTCCAGGTTTGAGCAATCTAAGGGTGCTCTTGTTGGAAGGTTATGGAATAAATGACATCAGTGTCCTTTCTGCATTGGGTAAGCTTCTTTTCCCGTAACGAATCGTAGACTCCGATAAACTGGTCAGGTATTTATGTTTCTATCCCTAACTAATTTTAAAAATTCACAAATCAATGCAGGCCTTGCTACACATATTGGACGGAAGAATTTAGAGAAACTCTATTTGAGTGAAAATAGCTTCAATTCCAACATCTTTTCATCTCTCAAGGATCTTCCATCTCTCACGCATCTGGATCTCTCATACAACGAAATAGATGAAAATATTGAAATGAGTGGTTTGTTAATCTCGCCTTTTAATCATATATTGCTTCATTACGATTTCAATTGTACAACTGAACATCTCAATTATCTACCCATATCAAATACGTAAATATTTGCCTTTTTCTTGTGCTAACTATTTATTTTGATTTACCTGTTTAGATATAGTTGATGGATTATTATATGCAGCGGAAGTAATTCCAGTATCAAAATCACATGTAATTTAGACAACTAGCATAAACGGGATTTCACGGGTTAC